AGAAAGCGGGGCTGGAGGGCGGGGGCCCGCAGCGCGGTGAGCCAGTGGGTGCCCGGGGCTGGTCGTGCGCGGTTAGGAATGGCGGGGGACGGGAGGGGTTGCCTGTCAAATCGAGGACAGGTGTGCAAGTGTAGGGGGCCGGGTGCACAAGTGTGCACGTGTGTGGGGGCTGGGGCCAGCGTGCCCGATCCTGGGGTCCTCGGTGTGGATGTTGTGGTGCGTGACGAGGGAATGGGTGCGGAGTGGGTGGGTGTGCGTTTGGGGCAGGGGAAGATCTGAGACCTAGTCCTTAAGTTGGGGTAGGCTTTTAGTTTTCTGGAAGGAGGAGCCGAGAATGACTGCGCCCCTGCACCCCTTGCCCTTCTACCCCAGTATGGAACGGTTTTGTCGCTGTGATTGATGTTTCATGGAGCTGTTGGGATTTGAGAGCTCAAATTACGGATCACATTCGGGCCTGACTTGTTGCCCTGAACTGGGAGACTGGGCAGGGTGTGTTGGAGAGGAGAGCAGAAACCTCGGGTTCTCAGCGGGGTCAGGGCCTGGAAGCTGCCACCTGGTGAGACTTGCTCTTTCTTGGGCCTTCTGGAGGTGCAGGTGCAAGTTGGGTTTCCAGCTTGCCTCTCTCTGTGTCACATGGGGACAACTCTAAAGACAGAAGCTGTCCTCTGTCCTCTCCAGTTGTCTGAACCTGTCATTGCTTCCACCCATGGGCTGTTGGACAGCCCTCACAGGCCGCTCCGGGGGCCCTACCTGGCTGTTGGAAATGGGGATTCAGATAGTGCTTCTTAATGCAAATGACTGTATTGGGTGCTGAGGTCAAAAGTCAGAGCAGGATTTCATCCGTGAAATAAGTGCTGGTGGGGAGGCGCCTGTCCTTCAGAGGGAAGGCAGCGGCAGGCCTGATTGTAGTGACAGGCTAAGGCACCAAGAAAAGTGTGAGGTCGATCCTTTGCAGTGCGAGCTGGCTTACCTGAAGTCAGCACTCAGGACTTGGAGGGCCTGTGGGAGCCCACTACGCTCTCCTCATAGATTTGCTTCCCTCTCTTGCTTAGCCCGAAGCTGGCGAGCAACTGAGGGCTCCCAGGGCTCTGGTCAGACAGGAAGGAACATCTGGCCAGCTGCTTCCTCTTCTTTTTCCTTCCATTTCTGCCAGCCAAGCAGCCTCAGCAGTCATTGGAGCTGCCTCTTTGGTGTGTGGCACTAGAAAGAGCCCTGACCAGACTCCTGGTAACCCATCTAGAAGTAGCCCTTCCAGGACGCAGTGCATCTAGGAAATGGGGGCAGTGCTGCCCCGTGGTGGTGATGAGCATGGAACTGTGGCCCTGCCAGTCAACCCCCACTCAGCTGAAAATCGCTTTTTGAGCTCCCCTGCCCCCAAACTTAACTGCAGTCGTCCCTGGGTATTTGCAGAGCGGTTGGTTCGAGGATCTCTGGATACCAAAATGCTTGAATCCACAAGTCCCTTTTATAAAATGGCATAGAGCAATGCATACAGGCGGCTCTTTGCATCCACCTTTCAATCCTTGGCTTGTCAAATCCATGGACGCGAAACCTGGGCATACACAGGGCTGACTGTATATTGAAAAAGAAAAGTCCTGTGTTGGTGGACTCAGGTGGTTAAAAACCACAATGTTTAAAGGTCACCCAACGAAATGCTCCCCTCTGAAGTTAGACTCCTCGTGCGCCTTGATCCTAATCTGTACACATCACGGTGTGTACATTTTACAAAGAAATGGAGTGCTACCCCTTGCCTTTCCTCTCCACTATCTACACGAGCAGCAGTCCTCTTCCACCTCTGCAGGGTCCCAGGACGCTTCAGCCTCTGCCTAACCCTCCAGCGACGGGTAGATAAGGAGCCCGTTCTTCAGTTAGGCAACTCCAGCTAACAAGTTTTAAGAGCACAGAACTCACTGTTTAAAAAACGCTAAATTTTCTAGGCCCGATTTGCAGCTGATATTTCTGTTCAGGGAAAAAAAAGGCATTATTATGGCTTATTCCTTCATGCTACTATTAAACATTTATGATCCTTTAAGAAAACTTGAGGAAATTTTACTTAATGATTTAAGCATCTTTGACTATTTCCAGTCCTCATTAGAAATACATTAATCACTGTGGTGGCCAGGTGTTTGGAAACTACCAAATAATTTGGCCCATACTTTACAACTCATCTCTGTGGTAAACCTGACCCATTTTTCTTTATTAAATTTTTTTTTCCTAAAAATACAGAACTACTAAATGAATGTAAAAGTAACAAGTTAATTTGGGGCTACCCCAAATGAGCCTTACTCTGAGTGTGTTGTGAAGTCTTGCAGGTGATTTGAGACCAAGATCTTTTCTTGATAGTCAAGTAGCTGCTGTTGAGTAAAGATCAAGGAAAATAACGTATCCTGTAGGCATTGGATAATTTTTTGTGGCTGTTTGAAGGTCCAGTATTGGGGAAGGTGTTTTAAAGGGGATTCCCTAGACACCTACACTCTCACATTTCCTCTTCCACCTTTGTTCTCAGTTATGACTGTTGATGTCACTGTTAGAGGATGTATATGCTATATACACAGATATACACAGACTATATGCATATAGGTGGCATGTATATATATGTGGTGTGTATAAGTGGTGTATATATGTCTGCATATGTACATCTATGTGTGTATATTTACCTACATATTTAAGTAACTTTGATTAATATTGCCCAAGAAAAGGATACCACCTATGACTAGTCACATCTAAGTGTGTACCGGAATAATATCAAGATGACAAGTTAAATATTAGACCTTAGTTGTGCGATTTTTTTTCTTCTTCTTCTTTAAGATACTCTTGTAGGTCACTGGAACAGGTTTATTGTGCTATAACTAGTTTTATGCTGTCTCTGTCACATGAGTGCAAAAGGTAACATGGAATGGTTGTGAAGTTGCATCCTGATTTTCAAAAGAGGAACAGGTCTTTAGTACAAGTCAATAGATTTGTTGTGGATTCCTGGCAAGTTTCAGTATTGAGCCATTGAGCAGTTGGCTGTGAGAACTTGGAGAATTTGGGGCCAGCATGGGGTGTGGTTCTATAAGAAAAACTCATGTCACATAAACTTATATCTTGTTTTGATAAGATTACTAGGTCAGTGGAGAAATGTGTAAGTATATCATTCTGAATCTGAAATTTAGCAAGGCATTACTGACGGTGAACCCCATTCTAAGAAGCATTTATTTGTGACAAAGGTTG